TTAAGAAAGCCCTGACTTGTTTCTCCTCATACCCTTACGTCAGTGGGTCAAGTGCGAGGAGTGCATTATAATCTCATTTTTTGGCCTGAGCTTTGCGAATAATAAAGTCTACCGGCATCTCGCCGATGCGTGTATTATGTGAATCACCTGAATATTTTTATTATTATACCGAGATTGTTAAGGTATCCCGGAAAGCAAAAATGAGCCCAGAAATACAGTATATAATTTGGCAGTTTTTGTGATAGTTCAGTTATTCCGTCCTGAACGTACACCGAGAAGAACCTACGTCTAATGAATAAATAAAAAGTCGTTCTCTGCTGCGTATCACCCTTTCGCTCGCTTCGTAACCCCCACATTACTCTGGCCTGACCCCTATGTATAATTTTTGGATCCCCTCCTTGACCATATTTATGTTGTTGAGTTGATAAGTTTGAATGGCTTCAGATTGGCTTGATAGAGCGACAATCTCTAAACCACATGCTCCTGCCGAGCCAAGTCATCCGTGGCACAGGTTCCTGGCATTCACTCTCAGCTAGATAATCTAGACTCGAGCTCTTCTCACTGATACTGGTTATGGGATGGTGATATGATTGTCCTTCCTCACAGTGAATATCCAGTCCTCCTTGGTATTGTTGGTGGCTTGCGCAATACCACGTGGGGTTGGAAGCAGTCACAGTTTCCTTGCTAAGAGGAGCTTCGCCTTGAACCATTTTTTATATAGCACTTCGCGGGCTCATATGATAGAGTGATGTTAATCTTCCTATAAAAAAAACCTAACACAAAGATGGCGCTATTCAAGCCATCATCATTTCCTTTTTTCAAACATCCCTCTTTTCGAGTGTGCATGTGACCTGAGAAACTCATATCACCATGGGGGGGGGGGGGGGGTGGGGGGTGTTTCTAAATTTGGCCGGTTCTGACAGGTGGCTGCTATAAAGAGGGGAATTCCCCCCCCATCGCTTTTTCCTCTAGGCAAACTATGAGGTACTTATCAGTCAGTTTTTTAAGGAAAATTAAACACACTGTATGCTACAAAGGTACTATACTTCTGATTTTGTGAGGTTCATTATTTCAGTGTGAGGAAGTCTTGAATGTTCGTTTGACGCACACGCATTTTGCTTAAGCGCACTCGCTCCTGGAGAGACGTTTCGAGCTTCGTAATCGCTTCAACTGACTCGTGCATCCCCTTCTCTGCCAAAAAGTACTTCAGCTTCTCCGTAGCATTCGATGGCCTATAAGAAAGGGAGCAAGATACAGGGAAGAACTAGCGGCAGGTCAGCACTTTTGATCGTTCTCTTACTATCGAAACTCCGGAGATGTGACCTTGACAACCGAGCGACGAGTCAATTCGCGGGGGTATTGGGGAAGGGGAGGGGAAAGAGGCGAAATGGAGGGAAAGAAGGAAGAAAGGAGGGAAGCTGTGAGGTAGGGAAATAAAAAAGAAGAAGGTAACCTGCAATCTATTAATACTTTCCTTCCTGTGTTCTGGCCCGATGAAAGAGTGGCCTGCACAGAGGGTCTACAAATCCTTGGCCGCTGGCCGTGTTAGACAGGTGGCCGAATAAAACAAGTTATTTTAGCATGCCTATGAAGCTAACGATTGGGACTGATTGAAGTGAAGGAGTGACTAAAGAAGTGTGACTGACTGTATTCAGTCACACTTTTACTTTCCAAATGAAGTTCCGTATCCAGAGGTTTGTGTATAGTGTTTTCGGATTTACTTTTACCCACCTACCCCTTCCCCCCCCCCCCCCCCCCCCCCCCCCCCCCCTTGTTTTGTGTTTTCGGATTTACTTTTACCCCCCCCCCCCCCCCCCCCCCCCCCCCCTCCCCCATTCTGCCGTCAAAGATACTGGAGAGACACCTATCTAGTATTTGCAATCGTCACTAATTGCGAAGTACGAGGGACGTTCAAAAAGTCTTTGAACTTTTTCAACAACAGCAATATAAAATAATTATTGTCAAGCAGGGGTCAAGTCGCCACCAAAAAGGGAAACAAAGTCACCACCAATTGACACCCACTTGCAGCAACGTTCTGAAGTTTATTTTGTCCCTCTTTGGATCATATTTTTGGGGTCGACCGAATCCACTGTTGCACCGCCAAGTCGAGTCCCTGCAGATTTGAAAACCTTAGTCCTCTGAGGAGCTTCTTCATTGCACCAAAGAGCCAGTAATCGCTTGGTGCCAGGTGTCTAGTGAGTACGGAGGGTGTTGTAGCATCTCTAAACACAGATCAGCTGTGGCATTCGATGTTTGCCGGCAGGTATGCGGTTTCGCATTGTCATGATGCAGCAGAACACGTGCACTTGATTTCTCTCTGCGTTTCTGGCTGATGGCAGCTTTAAGCTTTGACAGAATCCTCATTTAATACTCACTGTCGATGGTTAGCCCCTCCAGAAGACATTCCAGAAGAAGAATGCCCTCTGGGTCCCAGAAGACTGTCGCCATTCGCTTACCTATTGATGGTGATGTTTTAGCCTTTTTGGGTGGAGGACTGTCAACATGCTTCCATTGCTTGGATTGTTGTTTCGTCTCCGGTTCGGGAAAGCGGAACCACGTTTCATCGCCAGTAACAAGGCGTCTGAAGAAAGCATCTAGATCACTGTTGTGGAGCCGGAGCAGTTCCGCACTCGTCTGCACCCGTTGCGCCTTCAATTCCTCTGTCAACAGTTGTGGCACCCAAATCGCACGAACCTTTCCCAGCTGCAGATTATCATGCAAAATGGCATTAATGGAACCAGCTGAGATACCAACTGCAAGAACAAGCCCCAGGGGTGTGATTCGTCAGTTGTTCCTGACTAATCGTTCAACAGCTGCAATGTTTTCTTCTGCAGTGGAAGTGCTTGGTCTACCAGATCGTGGCGCATCTTCAGTCGTTTCACGACCACCTCTTAAAGGAAGCACCCAGTTGTAGATAGTCTGTTTTGATGGTGCAGACTTCCCACACACTGCTTGAAGCCTGCGAACGATATTGACGGTCTTTTTTCCTTCCTTCCACAGGAACTATACTGTCCAACGTTGCCCTTGCGCGTCACCTTCCATTGCTGATATTCAGAATTAGGTGTGCTGACGAAATGGTATTGTTGGTATTATCTCTTGCTCTGAATGATTAATTGTGCTCATGATGGCTATTAAGCCCGCAAATTTGCAAGCATGTTGGGTTAGGCCAAGGGGCAGAAACGGAAAAAGCCCAAAGGCCTTTTGAACGCTCCTCGTATATCGATGAATGAAAGGGATGGAGCGACATTCCCCCCTGAGCGAGGGAACTGCTACTGCACAACTGGACGGTAGGGCCCGTATAAAAGCAGGAAGTGCATGTTTACGCAGTCAATCCGGAGACACTATAGGTTACACTCCTCACTGCTCTGAGTACCTTAGATCAGTGTTTCTCAGCCTCTTTCATGTCAGGAACCACCTGAAATGTTAGAGGAACTTTCGCGGACCACCATAGTAATCAACGTTTGGGAAAGCTTAGGTGCAAACGTATTACTACTTAAACATTAAATTTTGCTTAATTTTTACTCACCTTCCTCCTGTCCAATATTGTGGTATTTGTGGTACTTGAGACAGCATGCTGCTGACCAGTTGGCTTATTTTTAGTCAGGCTTGTCAGTAACAGACGCAGAGTAAACTGGATATCGAGGGGATTTCTGTTTTATTTTTGTTGTTGTAACCACAGAAAATCCAGACACATACAAATATGTTGATGCAAAAGGGATCAAAATCTTGATTGTGCGATCTACTCAACACACGATACTCATTCCTTAATTTGATTTTAAATTTTGGTGGTACTAACTTCCCTTTTTGAAGTTTCAAGGTGACATCTGAAGATAGCTCTGTTAAAAAGTTCTCTTCTGTAACAGAGAGCTTATTTCTTTTGTGCACATAAAATAGACTCAGAACCCTCAGGTTATCAACTCTTTGGTCTTGGCAGCTAGGAAAGTAACCATCAAACTTCTTCAAGAGCATCAATTTGAGACTTCACGATTGCGAGCACGTTATTCGTGTCCATATCGAGTGGGTCATTTAACATTTCTAACAGCATTGGAAACGTCGAAACACCACTTCTCTCTACTTTTTGGCTTCTCAGTTTCAGTTTTCTTCGAAAGCCTTCAATCTTATTGCTTGTGTCAGAAATCGTCTTTAATGGTCCTTGTGGGCTGGCATTTAACTCATTCAAGTGCTGAAATATATCGACTAGGTACGCAAGTTCACCAACCAATTATGATCACGAAAATGGGATGCAAGACCAGATTTATTTTGTTCCATTAACAAGAATACTTCTTCGTGCAATCGCTTCAGCACTCGACCTTGTGACAACCACCTGACCTCTGCATGGAGGAGTAGCTGACGATGAACCGACCCCATCTCGTGGCAGAAAGCTCCTAAAAGGCGTGAGTTTAGCGTGATGGATAATACAATTGTATAATTATATGTATAATTAACAGTTTCACTGCAGCCGTTAGAACTTGGTTCAATTCAAGGCTCATTCCCTTTGATGGCAACATCTTCTTGTGGATGACATAATGAATGGTTTGCATGTCCTGTTATCCTCCTGCTTGGTTCGTGTCACTACTCCAGTGATTGAAGGCCCTTCAGTGACTGACGAAATCCTGTCGTCAGTCACTAAACAAAAGTGCGACTTTGGGGAACAGCTATTTTATTTTAAATTTACCTGCATTCTTTCTGCGAACCACCGACTGAAGCCACACGGATCACCGGTTGAGAAACACTGCCTTAGTTCATAGAGTCATCTACTGAAGAAGGGAGGAACGACATGAAGTTCTCCTACGACAGAATTATTTTGGGTATGATGGAACTCAAGTACCTAACCATGAAAGCGCGTGCATGGAGGGGTCGTATATACAGTATATTGTACATGATATGAAGCCCACGTGGCAGTTTTTATCTCGGCTCCTATATCCTGTGAGGATCACTATCGCTCTTGCGCCGTTGTCAAGTGGGTCAAGGAGCGTTTCAGGAAGGACTCTCGATGCTCTCACATAGCGCGAGCTGCGATTAGGAAACAGTTGTACCGAGTGCTCCTGCAACCCGCAGATCGCTTCTTCTTTTACTGGGATTCCCGAATTAAGGACCTGTAGTGATTGAGCGCTGGGTGGGTGTGATGCCTGCCGTATTCAGTCTTCCATACACGTGTTATGACTACGGCCATACGTGGACTTCTTCCTGCTCCCAGGCCATGCTTGATGGAGGATACTACGTTTTCTTCGAAAGCCTTCGCATTTACTCTATCATTCATGCTGTGAGTCTTTTATTCAATACCGAAGACAGGTATATTGCGAGTATTACAAAATGTTATCTGCTGTCAAACTGCAACTTTTTCGCATTTCGCGAGCCTTCGCATGAAGTCCGATAGGAATGAAAGAAAAGGCGTAGTTAGTGTCGAAGGAATGGAGCTCATGAAACAGAGAGAAAGAGAACGCTCGGATACCTACTCGCAATTATGCAAGCCTCGTTCCTTCCATCATATCGATACCACGGTAGGCAACAAAATTTTGCAACATAAAAAAAATCTGTTCACCGATAGTTCAGCCGATCATTGCATGACTAGAAGGGACCTCAAGGTTCTGTTTACGATGTAACATATCAGAGCTGCATATAGCCCGTGTGATCTATGTATACAATCATCTTCGGTGAGGGAGACATAAATGGGAATATGGGAAAATGAAGTGAACTGCGCCTTTCCTAATATTGGCTTGGAAAGAAACTCATGCGTACTTCCTCTTAACTGTTCCTGTGTGTGAGCCCGAGGGTAGTGATTGTTGTTGACTTTGGAAGGGGGAACTATCAGTTGACGCAAGTCGCCGACAAACCAAGGACGCAGCATGCCATAAAACAACATTCCATGGAGTATCCATCACTCATTCAGAGGAAGAGTAAATTCCAAGTACTGTATAAGAGCGACTTCAATGGTCCCAATCCTGTCCCATGCATGATCCAGAGTTTCTTACTGAAACTGGTACCGAGAGATAAACCCAGTCATGATGAATATGAAACTTTTATTCGTCTTAAAAATTCGTCACAGCTCTTGGTAAAAAACTGGTATGGGACTGTATACTCCGGGGAGAAGGGATCTTTGGGGAGATCTCATCCAGGCATCTAATGTGAAGTATGCGCGGTTTATTCATCTCGGTGGTAAGGGCAGAACGAGAGGAAACCGGTTCATGTTGCATGAGTCTCTCGTTACAGGTTGGCTGTTAACTGACCGTGCTAATGCGTGGTGAGGATGTTGTGGAGGCCTCTAACCTTTCCCTTTCGAGGAAGGGTTAGAGGCCTCCACGGGGAATTTAAGAAGGGAAAAAAAATGAAGTTTTATAGCTGTACTGGGTGTCAACAAAATATGATATCCTACTTCATAAAAAAAACGATAGTTCCCGATAGAGCGATGGAAAGTTAAAAGTGGAGAGCATGGCTGAAAGAATGTCAGATGACTGTATCCACAGCTAATCCATCTCACAACCACCACAGATGCACATTCCATTAGCTGGAGAGAGCTCACGCTCATGTTACTGGAAGGTAACCCTGTGAAACGTGTACTGTGGAGGTGGATGCGACGATGCTAAGGGAGCAGCCAACCTCTAACCAACAGTCAAGAGGAAATTTTGCTCGAAACCATGCCCGAAAGATCTCTGCAAACCAGACTCTGAACGAAGAGAACGGACAAAAAGGGAAAATACTGCTACACTAAGCATCATTCCTGTGCTGCTACTGATTCCGTCCTGACCAACACGAACCCTGGGATCCCAGGGTTCGTATTGGTCAGGGAACGCAATTGTCAAAGTATTCCCGACTTTGTGCGACCTGACATGTGGCCCCAAAATTCACCTGGCTTCAAATCGGTGGATTATTATGCAAGGAAAGATTGTGTAAACACGTGTATACTGAGGCCACTCGGGATGAAAACCACCTCATCGAGCGTGTTAATGAAGCTTGGCAACTCCTGGATCAAGCCGAAATAAACAGCGATCGACCTGCTCAAATGACGAGTTGTGATGTGCATTGATCAAGATGGGGGCCACTTTAAAAATTTTATGTAATTGCTGGAGGTTTTTCAAACTAAATTAACAATTTTTGTTACAGGAAACACGTTTCCATATATGTTTCACGTATAGTTTCTCCTGTAATAACATTTGATTCATACCCTTGGGGTCCAAGATTTTTTGCATCACCCTGTATATATAATAATTCCGGTGGTACAGAGGCCAGTGGAATACCATATCTACACCTGGGCTGGTACTCTCTAGTTAATTTTTTGTGCGTTTACTTAAAATTTCGCACTGACAATACCACTCATTTTGTTCGTCTAACTCTGTCCTTCGTGCCTACCCAAGTAACACAGTATGTTGATGAAACGTTTCCGATATGTTGCCTATGTTGCTCTATGTTGCAAGTTGCTGTGTAACATTGATAAAACATTGCTTCCAATTTTTCACTTAGAATGTTGCTGCGACACTTCTACGAATGTCATTGCAACATTTGCTATCAACATTGAGATAATGTTGACACTCTTGACATCGACAACGTAGCGACAACATTCTGATACAACATAGACTTAGGAGTTTTAGGGAATTGTAAAGTTGTCCTCCTTGCCACGAAATGGAGACGTAAGTCTCGCTTTCTCACAGTACACAAAAGTGCCCTTCTCCCTTTCCCTGGAATAGCCCCGCACAGTAAGAACCCTTTCCAAGAAATCCTTCATATCCTCATCCTGGGTGCTAGCTGAGGAAACGAAGGATTGATCTCGTGGACACTCCATAGAACATTGCGGTCGGACCTTTTCCTGTAATGTGCAACTTAGCACATCCAGGGGAAGACCACCTCCAAAAATGTACTGTCTCCTGCCTGTACATGATACAGATACTGTATTATGCATGGGTAGGGGTTATACCAGTACAGGCTTCGTCCTGTTGATGAGAATGTCTGGGTAGAGAGGTAAAGTATATGGTACGAAAGGATGAAATAAATAATTCAATATTGGTCGAATATCGGTCCAGTTCAGGACCAGTGAAGCCTATGCTTTTCCGTAATGCCAATATAGGCCCAGATTAGGTGCCCGTGAAGCAACGTTTTTAATCAACATTGCAGCAACATAAATCCTGAAACGTTTCTGCAACGCATATGTAATGAATAAGTAACAATTTGCAACGTAAATGCAATGTTCCTTCGCAACATTTGAGCAACGTTGACTTTTTGACATTTACACATAGATGCAACATTGTTCATCAACACTTCCTAAACGTTGCTGGAATATCTTGTGTTACTTGGGATATTTCAAACTTTTATTAATATTTCTGTTGCCGAACGAGTCTGCAACTCATCACTTGACCCTCTTTCTACAGGTATGACCAAGCTTCCAAAACAACATCTGAAATTTTCCAACTCCAATGGGGATATATATACTGCTCAGACTCACTGCTCAGAAACAATAATTCCAATGGGGATATATCATATGACAACACATATAACAATCTCTCTTCCTAAGTTAGAGAACAAATTTTAATGTCAACTAATAACATTTTTAATATTTTTAATTTTTACACAGTTTTTCTCGGAATTCTGATCAATTTAGCAATCTTGTATCCAGTTTTTCCCGCTTTTAACCATCCAATTATAGCTGCTCGTTTAATATCTATGGCTGTAGCTTTTTATAGAGATATTGAAGAAAGTTTGAAATAGACATGATAGAGCAGAATTAGACATAAAAATGAAGTGTTATCTTACTTGCAAAATTTTAAATAACCGTCCGAAAAATTATTTCTAAAAAATAGTGGCCGAACTTTTTTGTCACCCTGTATATATAACGCTCCTCGTATATATGCATATACGAGGGACGTTCAAAAAGTTCCCGGCCCGAGGCACTTCGACCTGTATTACATGATTCTTACTTTTCGTATAGGAAGATGTTAGGAAGTCCACAGAAAGAAGATCAAAGTCACATTTAGGTTGTTTTGAGAAAAACAACAATGATGTTTCCAAACCGTAAGGCTCCTAATTGATTCAAGATACAAAAACTATATATATTATATTAATAGTTTCATTGATCATTTTGAAATTTTAGGAATATCAGAAATTAAAGCGTGTACAACAAACATAGGTGGCAGCACTTTCTTAAAATTTTCAAAGATACCGGAAAAAGTGCATTTCATTTGTTGATGATGGACAGCTTCTATGAATTTTTTTCAATGTGCAACCAAAGGGTCTACTGTGGGGGTATTAAAATTGAGACGAGTTCTGTCATGAATATGGTGATATTCCGACTGATCTTTCTGCGGCTGAGAAGATCGTGTCTTATGGAAGCATTTTAAGAAGGAGGGTAAACTGCGTGAAGGCTGAGGAAAGACCTGGAATTTAGACCACGCTGCGGTCGCCCTGCCGAGGCAGTGACACCAGAAATTCGCGAGGAATGGACGAGGTGATTCTCGCCGATCAACGCAACATGAAGATAGAGCTAAGTGAAGTCGTCGGTCTGATCTTAAACCATCAGATGATTATCTCTTCGGCCAGCTCAAGGATGGACTTCTAGGACAGAGTAGGGCGTTCACATGGCGACGACGAAGTGAAGGACACAGTGCGCAAGTGGCTCTGCAGATGTTTTACAACAACGGCATGAAAGCTCTTGTAATTCGGTGGAGAAAATGCCTAGAAAGGGATGGAGACCATGTGGAAAAATAGCTGTATGTACAGTAGGGTGTTGTCATTTTCCCTATAAATGTTCAATAAAAATAAATTTCCAATAAAAAGTCACGGAGAAAAAAAAATTAACGTGCATTGTTTTCATACCACCCCTCGTATTTACGCTAGCTATGTATCTCGTTCATGGGAAATCAATGGTGATCATCAGCAACATCTACTGCCGATGTCATTCCACCAAAAGAGCCACCAAATTAAGCATCCAAGGATTCCATAACTTGCGGTCAACAGATACGCAGCACGAACCACTGCGAAGATGCGACAGGAAAAGACACCCCTCAATTCCATTGCGAAGCGTACTGCGACCAACTGCGACGAGCTGCGACGGTCGCAGTGGTCGCAACGTAGCTCTTCGCAGTCAGTGTGCATGGCCCCTATTTCAGGAATGTGCAACCTGCGGCCCGCAGGCCGCATGTGGCTCGTGGACCTGTTTTTTTGTAGCTGGGTAAAGCATAATGGCATAAGAGATAAAATAAGTTTCTTTGCTGCCCAGGGCCGATCACAATTTCGATCATCCCTTAGTAACTCAACTAGAGATAGACTGAGTCCTTT